TATATATATATATATATATATATATATATATATAAATGATAGTAACACTCTTATAAATTTCGATGTAATTATCCACATTCTGAGACCTTTATGCATTTTATTAAGGGTTAATTGCCTAGTTTGTTATATGATCATTTGGTTTTGTTTATTAGATCGACTTCAACTGAATCTTACACCAATTGGATTCATGAGAGTTGGACATGTTTATAATGTGGTTTGAGTTATTTTCAACACTGTATATTTAAACTACAATGCGTGGAAAAAACAGAATGAATAAATCAACATTATGGAGTCGCAAGACTAAAAATACATTAAAAAGGTGCTGTAGTCTGAATATCCACAGATAGGAATGCTGTTTTCATTTTCATAAATAATAATTATTGACATAAAAATGCTTGATTGTATTTTCATTTCAGATGACTGTTTCAGGTATTACTCCAACTTTATTCTGGTTCCCTTTTTTGGTTCTACTGGAGATATTTTTGAATATGAGCTAGTATTTATGGAAAATACTCGTTAGTAATAAACTAATGCAAATAGTTATTATACATAAAAAGTAAATTGATTATTTTCATTAAAGAGGGCTGGGACAAAAGAAAGAAGTATCAAGGTCAACAAAAGAATGGATAAATAAAATTCAGATGGCAGCAACATTGTCATTTTCTTTTTGAAATTTAAAATAGCTGGACTTTACTCCAGTTATGTTTTCATATCCTATTGGAATTGCTCTTTCCTAGATGATGCTGAATTCTGTATTTTTTTTGCCAGCAGGTGTAATTTCCTTTAACCTTTTTATAATGTTAACTCATAGAAAATCTTTGTTCTGATTATTAGATAACATGGTCTAAGCCTTACTTGCGGTCGTCTCTTTCATAGATCAAAACCTGAAGATCTAACAACTGCAATTCTTAAGCAAAAGAGCAGACCCAACAGACTGATTGTCGATGAATCGATTAACGAAGACAACAGCGTCGTCTCTCTTTCTCAGGTAATAATTCGGAAGCATTTTTCCCCAACAACGAGATGAACACAGTCAGATTGGGCATTGAAATAATTTAATGACATAATTTTATTGCATCTTAAGGCCAAAATGGACGAGCTGCAGCTCTTCCGTGGTGACACAGTTCTGATGAAGGGGAAGAAGAGACGGGAGACGGTTTGTATCGTGCTCTCAGATGACACCTGCTCTGATGAAAAAGTTCGTATGAACAGGGTGGTCCGCAACAATCTGAGGGTCCGTCTTGGTGACGTCATCAGGTGGGGGGAAATAAAATTCTTGTCCAACTTTCCACCTCATGCCTAAATTTTACATCATGCTAAGTAAAATTTCTTCCTCAGCATTCAGCCATGTCCTGATGTAAAGTATGGAAAGAGGATTCATGTCCTCCCTATAGACGACACAGTAGAGGGAATCACTGGCAACCTGTTTGAAGTCTACTTGAAGCCATACTTTCTGGAGGCTTACAGACCAATCCGTAAAGGTGAGTTTCACTGCCCATTGTGCAGGGGCTTTTCGGAATAAGTGGACATATGGGACTGAAGTAATACTCCCCCCCTCTTTACTTGTAGGTGATATCTTTCTGGTCAGAGGAGGCATGAGAGCTGTGGAGTTCAAGGTGGTGGAGACCGATCCTTCCCCCTACTGCATAGTTGCTCCTGACACAGTCATCCACTGTGAGGGTGAGCCAATCAGGAGAGAGGTACGAGCACCCTTAAATCATCTATTTACATTTCTTTTTGTTTTGTTTTTTTGAATGATCGCTGTTAACTGGAAGATGTGATCTTTAATCCCTAGGATGAGGAGGAGTCCCTGAATGAAGTGGGATATGATGACATTGGAGGAGTTAGGAAGCAGCTAGCTCAGATCAAAGAGATGGTGGAGCTGCCTCTCAGACATCCTGCACTGTTTAAGGCCATAGGAGTCAAGGTGAGCACTTATTTTCCAAGTTAAATTCCCCTCTTTTAATTTACTGTAATAGCTGACCTTATTATTGTGAACTGAAATACATAGATGTTACCTGCGACAGACTACCATTTATCACTCAATTTAATTTCTTAAACTTTCAAAACACTTGAGTTTATAAAAAAATTTTCTGGATTAATTGTTTTTACTTTGGATTTTATAAACTTCCCAATACCCAACTATCCCGTCTCCTTAGCCTCCGCGTGGAATTCTTCTATATGGACCTCCTGGAACTGGAAAAACCTTGATTGCCAGGGCTGTGGCAAATGAAACTGGAGCTTTCTTTTTCCTAATCAATGGTTTGTGCTCTTGTTGACGTAACAGCTACCAGTATAAACGTTGCCAGATTTATTAAAAAAGGTCTCTAAAATGAAAGCCTTAATCTCCTGCTTCCAGGTCCTGAGATCATGAGTAAGCTGGCTGGAGAGAGTGAGAGTAACCTGAGAAAGGCCTTTGAGGAGGCGGAGAAGAACGCTCCTGCAATCATCTTTATTGATGAACTTGATGCTATTGCTCCAAAGAGAGAGAAGGTGAGTTTAGTGGCCATAACCCATGTAATAGACTAAAGGTTGCAGCGGTTTGTCCAAAATATTTTATTATCCAGTCTTTTACTACCTTCTACAAAAATGTTGCTTTTCAAATCGAAGTTGTGTGTTTTGTGTTTTTAGACTCATGGTGAGGTAGAGAGGCGCATTGTCTCCCAGCTGCTGACTCTCATGGACGGCCTGAAACAGAGAGCTCACGTGATTGTCATGGCTGCCACCAACAGACCCAACAGCATTGATCCAGCTCTCAGGAGATTTGGTACTTTTTTTTTTTTTTTTTTAAGCAGAGGTTTTTTAAAATAGTTTACTTATTAGAGGTGGTGTAACATGCATTTAGTTTTGTTTTAAAACCTGTGATTGATAGGATTCTCTTCAGCCTAGGTTTGTCTGATACTGTATTTTACCATGGTGGATACCTGCCAGCAGTTTCATATTAACGGCTTTAGGTTGCACTGTGGACTTCTTTACGAGTGTTATTGTCCCTAGAGATTTACTTTCAGTTTTTTTTTTTTTGTAAAGGATGGGGGATTCCCTGTAGAACAAAGTACTGCTAAACACTGCAGGCTTTTATTTTTTCTAGCTCTGTATTTCGGAGCACACTTGGTCGGCTACATCCATCTCTAAATTTTACATCTATCTCATGATTTATTGGTTCTGATGGCCTTTATATGCTGGGTAGAAAATCGGTTGCTTTCCATTTCAAATGCAGATCTTTCTATGCCACCAAAGAAAAGGTGTTAGTGTCTGAAAAAGCATCTGAAATTTGCTTAGGATCCATCTAAATAAAACTGTCTCCACCTCCAGGACGTTTTGACAGAGAAGTGGACATCGGCATCCCTGACGCAACTGGCAGGTTGGAGATTCTACAGATTCACACCAAAAACATGAAGCTGGCTGAGGACGTTGATTTGGAACAGGTTTGTGCTCATTAAGCCTTCTGTTGGGTAATAAAGTAACCGAGCATTTCAAGGTGTTTTTGCAGTAGATGCCGTTAGCAGACACAGACATTTTTGTGTGATATCTGCTGGCAGCTTATGTTTCTAAATTCAGAGCTTGAACAATGGAGACTAAAATGTTTCAGAGCCCACTGAAACTGAATTCAGTTTATTTAAACTGGGTTGATCCACATCACGTCATTTCATTGCATTGAGTCATTAAATTTGCAGGAATCCCTCTTCCTGGATGAGCATTGTATCGTTGACTCGACTGCGATCAGTCGCATCTAATACACATGCAGCAACATTGGAGAGGAAAAACTCCTTTTTAAAAGGAAGAAACTTCCAGCAATTACATTTCATACTGAATGAACCTTTTTTTCCCCACTTTATCACTAGTATTGGTGTTAGTGAGGTCGTGCACTCACACATGAATCAAGTTGGCAGCAACATCTGATATCTTCTGCAGCTATCGATTTCTTCAGTGAACGCCAACGTTCATATTGTGTTCTGAGCTCTTGACCATCAGTTTTTTCAGTATTTTTATATTTTTTGTGCTTTATTACTTGTTCCCTCTGTCCTTGCTCACATTCATTGCTTCTCCCATAGACATCTGTCAAAGGCTCTTTCTTGTTTACCTATTGTACGTATTCACAATATTAGTAGGGTCAATTTATTTTATTTTTTTTAACTAGACCAAACATAAAATGTAAAACACAATGAATATAATTATCATCATATTCTGTGACAAGTTCCTTTTAAACCTTGTTTATTTTTAATTTTTTGGACTCGTATTGACTTGGGTTATACATAAGCGCAGCATGAAGGGTGGCTCTGATGGCAAGTTAGGATGTGACCCGAAGACAAACGACTCTGTGACTTTGATACTTGATTTTGGGTGGATGTTGAAGGAATTGGCCTGAGAAGCTTTTTAGGGTGACTTTCAGTGACACAAGCCAACGTAAGCTGTTAGTAACTACACTAGCCTGCTAAATCATTTATTTACGGGTAAGCCTGTCTGGTACAGAGCCACTAAAAGAGTCGGCAGCAGTACCTGTATTGGAAAGAGGAAAACTACTGCCAGCTGTAATAGGCAATGTTTTTTGTGTGCAACCAACTTCAGTGCACAGTTGCCAGTCTAATGTGTAACGCGACCGGAGTGTGTGCCAGCCTCTCATACATCCTTAAAACGAGTCTAGTGCATGCTATACTCACTACAAACTCTACTCGGCCTTTAGAAAAACCAGTAGAACATGAGTGTTTTTGGCACTGCTCCAGCCAGAGATGGTTCAGTTTAAAAACAAAAAAAAACCTTTTATTACTATAATGCCGATAAAGGTTTTTCCATCTCCTACTGTAAAGACGGTGAATAACTGACAAGACATTAATCATTAAATATAAATACATGAATAAATAATAACTGTGCCTGGTTATTCTATCATAGTATATCAGATTGGTGCTTTAAAATGAAATGATACAAATGTTTTACTATGGGGGAAACGCCCCCAGACCCTCCTTGAGGAGTTTAATCCTCCTCACCTTTCTACCCCAACTTAGTTTTAAATGTCTTGAAATGCATAGGAAAATGGATCAAACAAAATATTTCTGAAGGTTTTCTCATTTTTGTACGCATTTAAAACTAACAAAGGTTCACCATTCTTAATTGTTCTGTTGCTCCTTTTTTACAGGTTGCCAATGAGACCCATGGCCACGTCGGTGCTGATCTGGCAGCTCTCTGCTCCGAGGCTGCTCTGCAGGCCATTAGGAAGAAGATGGACCTGATCGACCTGGAAGATGAGACAATTGATGCTGAAGTCATGAATTCTCTTGCCGTTACCATGGACGACTTCAAGGTAAACCTGTAATATGATCCTTTCAAATGGGTTTGGATGGATCACTTGGCCAGTAATGGCTGTCTATGTCAATACTAACTCTGTCAACACTGTTTCAGTGGGCTCTGAGCCAGAGCAACCCATCAGCTCTGAGGGAGACGGTTGTTGAAGTTCCCAACATCACCTGGGATGACATTGGAGGTCTGGAGGATGTTAAGAGGGAGCTGCAGGAGCTGGTGCAGGTATGATAATGCAAGACAATTAATCTTGATTGACTTTAGACATGTAATATATTGTCTTATGGTAACGCTGTGGTTTTGTGTGCATAATTCAGTACCCTGTGGAGCATCCAGACAAGTTCCTGAAGTTTGGCATGACCCCATCCAAGGGTGTGCTCTTCTATGGTCCCCCTGGGTGTGGTAAGACTCTGCTGGCCAAAGCCATTGCCAATGAGTGCCAGGCAAATTTCATCTCCATCAAAGGACCTGAGCTGCTCACCATGTGGTTTGGAGAGTCTGAGGCTAATGTCAGAGAGATCTTTGATAAGGTAAGCTGTTTTCCAGGCCAGCCCTTAAACTGGAAACCTCAGGTTCCATCAAATAAACAGAAAATAATATTTTTAAGATGACTGAAAGAAAATCTCCCAAAATTTCTTCTAACATTAATGTGTTTTAATAATTCTGATTTAGGATTTATATTAAGATGTGTAGAAAATAAAGGGTTCTGAAATAAACTTGGCATCAGTGTTGGATGAGGGAAAAAAAGGACAATTAAATTTAGAAGAGCGTTTTAGAGCTTTGGCATTTCGGCCTTTTGGATACATTTTTTTTTTTAATATCCTAGACTTGAGTCTAAATAGAAAATGTAAAATAATCCTGTGATGGACTTGCTCTATAAAATCGTTGTTCATGTTCTCAGGCTCGTCAAGCCGCCCCATGTGTGCTCTTCTTTGATGAATTGGACTCCATAGCCAAGGCTCGTGGTGGCAATGTTGGAGATGGTGGCGGAGCTGCTGATCGTGTCATCAACCAGATCTTGACAGAGATGGACGGAATGTCCAGCAAGAAGAACGTCTTCATCATTGGAGCCACCAACAGACCAGACATCATCGACCCTGCCATCTTGAGACCTGGCCGCTTGGATCAGCTTATCTACATCCCCCTGCCGGATGAGAAGAGCAGGATCAGCATTCTCAAGGCCAACCTGCGCAAGAGCCCTATCAGCAAGGTGACTATTGGTGACAATGTTGTATTTTTATATATGACAAAGCTCCCTGTATCAAGTTGGTCTTTTTTGGAGTGACTGTATGCAGTTAAAACTGACACAAAATATGACACATTGTTTTTGTCCAATAGGATGTGGACTTGGACTTCTTGGCCAAGATGACCAATGGATTCTCTGGTGCTGATCTCACAGAGATCTGCCAGCGGGCCTGTAAGCTCGCCATCCGGGAGAGCATTGAGAACGAGATCCGCAGAGAGAGGGAGAGGCAGACAAACCCGTCAGCCATGGTCGGTGCTTTCCCTGACATTCTGCTCTCTGCTTCTTCTGAACTGCTCATGACAATTTCCATCTGTCTGCTTGTAGGAAGTAGAAGAGGATGACCCTGTGCCAGAGATCAGGAAGGACCACTTTGAGGAAGCAATGCGATTCGCCCGTCGCTCTGTCAGCGACAATGACATCCGCAAATACGAGATGTTTGCTCAGACACTGCAGCAAAGCCGAGGCTTCGGCAGCTTCAGGTATATTTTGATATTTGTAGGTGTTTAGCTGGGGGTCCTTTCCTTTTGTAGGATAGAGCAGTTGATCACAACTAGCATGTTGCTTGGCAACCATGGCTGTTGAGAACAGTTCCCAAATCGTCTATATTCTGACAGAAAATGATGGTCAAATTCTGGAGTTCATATTTATTCATTTTATTTTTTGCCCAGGTTTCCCTCCAGTACTGCAGGCGGCAGCGGTCCAAGTCACGGCTCAGGTGGAACTGGTAGTGGTCCAGTGTTCAATGAAGATAATGATGACGACCTTTACGGATAAATGCACACTGCCCCACAGTGGTCGGTCCTGGGATCACACCTGTACAAATTCTCACCAGATTCCACATTTTTAGGACTTTGTGCTTCTTTCATGTGTTCCCCCCCTTTTTTTTTTTTTTTCTTTATTTTGTATAATTTACCTTGGAGAAAGCATGTAGCCACTTGGTTTACCCTGACTTTGGATGTGGGAGGGGGACGGGGATGATGAAAACATAAGGTGAGTAACTATAAACAGGGTCAGAGAGGGCAGGGTTGCCGATTTTTTTCAGTGGCTTCATTGTCTGTATATCACAAAAAAAAAAAAAATTAATGGAATGGCTATAGTGATGGGGATTTCTGCTAGACTGAATGACAAACATTGCTGATGACTTCTTTTTTTCTTTTTTAAAATGAGCAGTAGCATTTAATGTATTACAGATTTGTCAAGGTTATGTTGTTGCAAATAAAATCTCACTAAATGGAGAAACTATGTAGGTCTCTAGATTTTTGATTGAATTGTTGGGTTTTTAACACTTAGGTTAAATTTCATTGCTGTTCCTATTTACTGACATGCCTTTAAAACATTAATATTGACGGAGCTAAAAATTGTTCATTAAACACATTGATTTACATGTTTTGGGGGCTTTTTTTGTAAGTTTATACCAAATAAAATTTGAATATTTAATTTGGTCAGTGGGGGGGAAGTTGTGTAATGTTATGGCTTTTGATCATGGGAATAACTTCTGATTTGGCAGCTCTCCAGTAAACACGCATCATTTTTGCTGCTTTTTTTCCCTCTTGCTAAGCAAAGTGGCTAAGACTACAGCTCTCTCTTCTAAGCCACTTCTTAAACTGGCCATGTAAAGTGTCTTGGCCAAGAACAAAAGGGACATCCCTCTGAAATCCTTATCTTATATATTCAGTAAGTAAATTTTCTTAATCTGGAAATAGTTACCAGATTCTGGAAAAACAAAAAAAAAAAAACTAGTGCATAATCCTAATTCCTTGAGGTTCAGTGTGAAGTTAAATCAGAAGTTTTGCACATTGTATCATTGGCTCATTTAGGCTTGTTTTTTTTTAATAGAGTCCAAAGTTGGTGCAGCCATCTCTTGAGTTTAAAACGCTTTATGCTTTCCTCTATTGGTGAGCTCTCTGAGATGATTTAATTTTACAGTAAGACTTTGGTTAGCCAGGAAGTATTGTCACTTGGAGGATTGGATTTTGGCAAGGGAGCTGGAGGCTGTTGGTAAAGCAACGATGGCTTCTCTAAACCTCAGCTGATTTCTATGCCACAAAGCACTGATGCATAATTTAATGTAAATTGAGACCCTTTTCATCTTTGCAGAGCACAAGCTCTCAGGAAGTTGGCATTTCTGTACAAAAATCTCACTGGGTTTTGTTTGGAAGATTTTTTTTTTTAAGAAAATGGGCTTAAAGTTAAATACATGACTGTGAAATGGATCTTGATTGTGTGCTGGATTCATTATTCAGGGACCTTTTAATGTTTCTGGTTATTTGAAGGGCAGTTCTGCCTTTCACCACGTGATGTCACTCTCGCCCACTACCTCCACTAATTTAATACCTTAAATAATAAACATTATTCTGAACATTTTGATTAAATGTTACATGGGAAGAAAAACAAACCAAACTCTTTAAGGTTCAGATTCATTTATTTTGCTATGTCGGTTTTTTGAGAACCATCTTTAAAATGACAATGGCTCAATAAGGATCATGAAAGGGAAAATAAGGATGTTCTCCATCTCTCCACACTCTTTTGCCATCCTTCTGTAAAGAGAAAAAATATATGTATTCTTATGCTTTATATAACTAATATGTTGCTCTTTTCCTGTTGATTAAAAAAAAAAAAAAGAAAGAATCAAGACTTTATTGTCCTAAAAGCATTATGAACTTTATGTTGAGACATCTGGCTCAGAAGAGTGACAGAAATAAGGAGGGGTTTGGGTAACCAGGTTAAGAAATGAGAAACATTTGCTATTCAGCTATGGATTAGCATCTCAGACAGATGGCCTTCATCATAGCTATGCCTCACCTCCACGGTTGGAATAATAAATCGGGTGTTGCGGTTTAAGGAATTGATCAGCTTCATGTCCTCTTGTGACAAGGAAAAGTCAAACACTTGTAAATTCTCCTGGATTCTGGAGGCTGTCACACTTTTGGGGATGCATACCACACCCCTCTGGATGTGCCACCTGCAAAGTCAGATGATACAGTAACATGACCCCAAGTAACATTAAAGGACAGTTAACTGCAAAACAAAACAAGTGACCAACCTTACCTGAGTACAACCTGAGCAGAAGATTTCTGGTATTTCTGGGCAATGGCTTCGAGTCGTGGATCTTTCAGCAGACTTGGCTCATCGGGGGAAGCCCAGGGTCGGTCTCCACTGCCTAGAGGACTATAAGCCGTCACACAGACTGCTTTAGACCTGGAATAGCAGTGAGAGTATGGAGTCAGCTTTAATGAATGCCTCTGATCTCTGCAAAGGCTAGGATTTCAAGTATAGTGAACTGACCGACAGTGTGACAGAAGGTCTTCCTGAGACAAATAAGGGTGACATTCCACCTGTAGCAAAAATAAGAGATTTGTATAACTTTATGAAACCTTTGATTTATACAGAGCCAGTGTGAGATTTCAACCAAAGCATAAATAACTTAGAAATTGTCTTTTTGGTTTTCTGTACCTAAAATCTGGCATTGAACAATGACTGCCATATTACTAACATATTTTGCTTTATTATTGTTTTTTTTTCTTTTCACTTTACCAGTATGTAACATATAAAACATTTTCTGCAATAAAAGTCTGGCTCTCTTTTAACCCCCCCACTGGCCTGGTTGCCCTGAGCAACATGTTAGTTTGCCTGCTTTGGTTCACATCTAGATTTATAGTTCCACAAATGTCTGGCTTTACCTGGTTAACCACAGGTTTGTGTCTGGCAATGCTGATGATGTCATCGATCTGCCTTGCGTTGAAGTTGGACAGTCCTATGGCCTTAACAAGACCTTTGTCCACAAGTTTCTCCATAGCCCTCCAAGTATCTCTGTAGTGTGTGTCAGAGTAACAAATGCTCCCATCGTCTCGTCGAGGCATCAGCTCCTTCCCCCGCCTGAAACATCCACATTCTGTTTCAGCACGGGGCTTTATTCCTTACACATCCACGTCGACTCTACACCACAGTATAACAGCTTGGGGAAAAGCTTTAGCTAAAATAACTGCTACTCACCTAAAGGCCATGGGCCAGTGCATGAGGTAAAGATCCAGGTAGGAGAGACCCAGGTGGGCAAGAGAAGTCCTGCATGCCTCTTCAACATCTTCAGGGTCATGCTTGGTGTTCCACAGTTTGGATGTTACAAACACATCGTCACGCTGCAGGGCCTGAGGTTAAGAGGGCAGTTGGGAAACCCTTCAGGATATACATGTAATTGCTTTTACATTCTCAGTCCGGGGATTTGAAACAATTAATGATTAGTGCCTAGAGTAATTACCTGTTTCTATTTACCAACATACTGACAGATATTATCAATCATGCTGCAAAATGACTGACTTTTTGTTTGTTTGGTCAAAAAACAAGTTACAAATAATATACCATAAAAATACAGCAGTAATTAACAAATGGAAATTGAATCATGCTAAAAGAATGATAAACAATGGGCCCCCACTAATGTCCTCACGTTAGTTGTGCATATTGCATTATATTGACGAATTCAATCTCCATTGTTCTTTTGCTGTCGTTTTTTTTTTTTGTAGAAACTCTCATTGTCCTCTGTTAAATCCATGAAAGATTTGATACTCTAAATGCAAACAATGCCTTGCATATCATTCTTTTTTATTATTATTTTATTTACGTACATATTTTTGGTTTAAAGTTTTACTCTTCTGCAAAGAATTTTGATCATTCTTACTGAACAAAATCAGGAAATGATCAGGTCTGATTTAATGTTAAAGCATGGAAAGAAAATAAATCATCTTTCTTTTTAAACTGTTTATAAAATGTAACATTTTAACCAAACATGCCAAAAATAATTTTGAGTAAAGTTGTTAATTTTTTTACAGAAATTAAATACATTTTTGTACCAGCTGCCTATGCATCGTAACTGTTAACACGGCTTTTTATTCAAAACGCATAAGAAAAAAAATCCTGAAGAATATAGCAAAGAGGAAAATAAAATAGTTTTGTCATTTATGCATTGATTTTTATCATTAAGAGTCAAGCTTAGATGCAAGCAAGAAATAAAACGTTTCAAACCCTCTGCAAAGCAAAAACCTGAGCAGTAAGATAAACCTCACTTCACACTGACACCAATAAAATAAATCAATTAATCTCCTCACCTTCCCTGGACCCACCCAAAGAGCCAGAGCCGCTCCAACCTCCTGCTCATTGCCATACGCAGCTGCACAGTCAATATGTCTGTAGCCACATTCTAAAGCTGCCAGCACTGCCAGCTTCACCTGAGGGTGCATGGTTAAACTTCACAAACAACATCAAAAAGCAGCCTTTGCTTTAATCTCTTAAATCTGTGTATACCTGTCCTGGAGCACTCTTCCAGGTGCCAAGTCCAACCATGGGCATCCTCTGCCCCGATGAGAGAGTCACAAAAGTGCTCATAGTTGAGAACTTGGGAGAACCTGATGGACAAACAGGATCAAATGAATATCTGAGGGCTCCTCTAAACTCATATGGTGGCTGTGGAGATTATTACCCAGTCATCGTGACTGTGTTAATACTCTGTTAGTGATTATAGCTCACATCTTGGTTCATTAACTCTGCCCTGCAGCATGGTTATATGAAAATATAAGTGGATTTTACATAATACAGAACTACTGCTACTTATTGCAGAGTATGAATCATTTCATATGCAGGCAGCAAACTTTTTACTGACCTACTTACTGTTGTTAGCTGTCTTTACCCTGAATGTAGAGCTTCTGAGATGATTCATAAACCCTTTATGAACACAAGTTTACCCAAAGAAATGGCTGACTGCTATATACCATTGGTCACAGTGCAAATTTGCTACTACCCTTCTGATTGAATAATCATCTGCAACATCCTAACCTACCATGTGCACACAATTTGTTCATTAACCACAGATGCAATTTCACATGATTTGGGTCCTGCCCAAATAACTACAGCCGGCTGCAGACCAGAGAATGCAATTCAATCTTCCTAAATCTGTCTCAGTAAGTCCAGCTATGAGGGTTTCTGTTCCTACCTGGTAGCACTCGAAGATCCTACAGAGTCTGATGAGACTCGTGTCCAAGTGAATTTCGTAAAGTTGAGGTCAAAGTGTGTGTTTACCCATGGCTGATGATAAAATGTCCAAACTCCAGTTGCTTCAGGTTAAACAGAAACACCAAATTCTCTGGTCTAAATCTGTTGTAATAATAACAGATGTGTATGTATGTATATGTATGTGTGAAACTAATTTAAGATCTGTTAGAAATACAAAAAAAAAACAAAAACAAAAAAAAAACAGATTTTCTCAAAAGCACTAGTCCACAGCATTGGAAATAAGAATCCAACTGAGAGGTAAGGCAGGTATCAGCACAGATGTAGACAGATGGCTGATGTTTACTGATGTTTAATACTTTCATAAAGCAGCAGGTATGAACCTTCAAATACATGAGCAGTAATGTTTCATTCATTTAGAAGTTCTTGCCTGTGAGAGATGGAGGAACAAACATATATAGGTTAACAGCTGGATCAAACTCAGGATCATTGTACTTTTTTCCATGACACGCCTAATGTCAACTTCATTGGAAATTATATTTATTTGTATTTTTATGGTACAGTACAATCCTCCTAATGTAAAAATATTCAAATCAACTGGATAAAAAGGTTTTGAGTTTCCAGATTTGGCTCATTAATATGACAAAAAGTACTGGTGGTCAATTAAAGAGGAGCTTCATCAGTTCTTTATCCCTTTTATCATTAAACTGCTATTTTTGTTAGTATTGAACAATAACATGCTTGCTTAAGTAGTGCAAAGGAAGGGAATATGAAATCAGGTGGAGAAACAGAGACAGCAAACAGCAAAGGGCCACAGACTGACTCAAGTTAAGATATACTGCAACTGGATCTATAATTTAGCTATGCTCAGAGGTCCAGATGTTTAACTCTCAGATACCTCACATAAATTTGATTAGTTTAATATCATTTTGAATAGATCTTTAATAGATAAAATTCTTACATAGTAATAGGTTGACATTATTATGTAACCCATAGCAATTGCTGGTGCCCTGCCCTTCGACTGAAGTGGAGTAGAGGAAGGAGTGGGTGTGAAAAGATGAAAATCTTTTTTTTCAAAGCTCTGATGAACGTGCATCTGCTGCTGGACTGTGTGCTAACAAACCGCTTGACTTTGTGGGGTTTCTTTGCTGCAGGTAAAGATGCTGCACATGACAACATGTCAGGTATAGGTTGTGTTTTATTTTTTCAATAAATACTATTTGTCATATTATTGATTAATAAATGATTTTATTTAAAACTTTTTAGTATTTGACTTTCATATTTTGTAGTTTTAGATGTCCTATCTCCTGATGTCTTTTTTGAGTATAGTCTAATGTGTTGTTTGATCAAGGAGTGACTCTCATAAGGGTAAACTGACTTTAGCTTTGTTTTGTCTTTCAGGGCCTCTTCTCTACACCATGTGCTAAATGATATGACAATTTGTAGTTTTGAGAATTAATTTGTTTAGTGCTCTTGGACAATCCAAAATTTTAAACCTTAAAACTCAATAATTAAGAAAGAAAAAGGGCAGATTTTGCTGGAGGTTTCTTCCTGTTAAAAGGGAGTTTTCCTCTCCACTGTCGCAATAAGCTTGCTTGGTTTGAAGGATTGCTGTCCAGCCATGCATTCAGTCATTGCAATCAGCTGGTTTTCCTTAGGTAGAAAACTTTGAACCAATCTGACTGCATGATCTGGTTGAATTGTCTCTTTAAAGTGCCTTGAGATTAAATGTATTGTGAATTAGCGCTACATAAATAATTAAACAAACTGAATTGAATTCAGTTTGCAGGTGCTTTTGCAGCAAATTGAACTTTTGCTGCTCGACGCGCCACATCAACCAATCAGAGAAGCTGATCTGTGAGCTGGCAGGGAGAGAAACACATCACTGATGATACAGATCACTATGATCACTCCTCTGAAACAGTTTATTAATGCCTAAATTAACTTAAAATGCCAAAATCTGCCTGCAAAACATGTTCACTTTTATTATCATGGTGCCTCCTTTGACCAAAAGCTGCCCTGTAAGGTTCCTCCTCTCTGTGAGCCTATTTCCCTCCCCTCTCATCCAACACTGGGCTACCTGGAACAGGTTAGATGTCTTATTAAAATAAGATTTTCTATTTTCATGAATTTTATGGTGTATTTGCTGCTCAGAATTATCTTTAAATTGAACTATTTTGTCTCTAGGGTGTAGCAGTCGCAGTGATTAAATCCATGACAGCTGTCGGGTCTCTCAAACCAAAGTTTCCTTTTGTCAGTATACAAAGGTCAGCTCTTCTTTATGTTGCATTCTACCTGAGAGGTGAGCAGAATGTCATAAGATAAATTGAATGAAAAGGGCCGGCTGTTATGATGACAACGATTAAAGTGTTGTGTTGTTGTATTTTACAAGCTTTCAACCCAAATGGCGCAAATTCTACTCGACAGAAGTACAAGAAGAAGCTTGCATCATTTGAGGAGAACAGTGAGCTCATTCCCTACCTGGATTTTGATTTTAAACTTAACAAGTTTGGCACTGAAAGCCCTGGGATTATTCCATTCATGGAGTCTTTCAGGTTCTTTTTCTGTTGATGATCAAGTTTTTGTGTAGCAGGAACCACAGCCTCCCAGACACCTTTCAGACAGGTGGACTGTCATCACATTAAAGAAGGGCCCAGGAGATCACGATGGGGTTTAGATCTGGTCTGGTCCATCCCTCTTATCTCATCAGTCCATCAAACCTCTGAAAAGTCTGTCCACAGATCATTTGTAGCCCAGTCTTGACATTTCAATTTCTGTCTCTTGTTCAGTGGTGGTTGGTTTCAGCCTTCCTTACCTTGGCAATATCTATAAGCAATTTGTAATTCTAGGCTCTCCGGGTAGGTTCCAGTTCTGGAATATGACAGCACTGGAAGATAATCAGATCCTTTGATTCTTCTCAATCAACTTTAGCAGTTAACTTGCATCTTTTTTTACGATTCCGTTGTCTATTTGCTGCAAACATTTAATTGTTCTTTGATCACGCCCCAATGATTTTGTGCATCATGTTCAGAAAAGATCATCCTACCCTGTTTATTAAGCCTTGTCAAAACTCATTTTAATGTTTACAACTTATAATTCTCCTGTCAGAAATAACGTTCATACAGAATAAAATAATCACACAAAGTGAATCTCACACTTTTGGTTTATTTGTTACATTATTAAATACTGTGTTGTCAAATGCAGACAAGCGGAGATGGCAAATCTTTCAGCAGCGGTGTATCCGCACTCTGGTTGCAGCCACACTTAAGTGTCCTCTGAGGGATAAAGAGGCACAACAAACAGCCACACAATCACCTTATCCTCTCAATGTTCCTCAGTATTTTTACAAACATCCCAGAGAGAAAATGTTGTATATAAGACTAACAAAAACTTCCTGTATAATTATACAAACCTCTCTATCTTTCACATCTTTTATGTAAAATACAAAATGAGGAGAAAGAGAACGTCTGCTCCAAATCCTCTTTCCTAAACAGGCTGTTCTACTTAGCTGTATGTGTATACAGTATATACATAAATACAGAAGCATTTTCAAATCACAAAGCTGACACCAGTGTGGTTTATTGTTGGCATTGCTCACTTTAGCACCAAAACATGGCCTTCAGAAGCCACAAGAGAACGTATAATACAGCAGGGGGCTGTCAGAATAACCATTTATTCCCTCTTGAATATTCCCACCTGTACTTGTTTGGCACTTTGCATTAATGTACTTACAAAAATTCCTCAGTCACATATCAAAATGCTCCCTAAAAACTTACATTACTATAAAAACATTACATTGCTTACTTACGGTTTTACCACCTCCAGATGGCAATGTCTAACACAGCTTTGGGCAACACCTGTTGTGCATTTATGGCTTTTTGTATGTGTTACAGTATGGTCTGTGTTACTGGTTTGACACTGAGGTAAGGCACCTGTATGTCCTTTAGAAAGTGAGCCCGCTAATCAGTTATTACCAGCCGCACAGCTCAGCAGGAAGGAAAGCACCTTGTTTACAAGCAGGTTGTTATATAAAAGCTTACACTGCAGGTGGAGGCTGTGATTGTCATTTCAATTCAACCAAGGTAGGCTAATATGAGCTTGGCATGGGCCGGTATGTAATCCTCATTGCAGGAGCTCTGTAAACAACATATTAGTATTTACACTCAAAAAAAGGTTATGATAAAAACCATACTTGCTGGGGTTTTTTTTGTTTTTCCCTAGCTTTTACTGTATTAGAAATTGATTAAGGTACAACTAGCTGTTACATTTATTTATTGGTACTTTGGTATTCTTACATTCATTAAACATCTGGTAAATTTAAGAATAGTTATATCTTCTTTCTGTGCTGCACCATTAGAGGGTCCAGGGGGTCAACTCTGTAAGAGGTCTGGGGTATTTATGTCTACGCTGCATACAGTATACAGGTAAATAAAAAAAATATGTTCCCTTGTCTGATAATGACAATGAAGGGAAATGCAACTCTAGTTGCTTACTTGCTGATTCTCATCTTGTACTGAAAGCATACACTGAATTATGAACAAGTCAATTTTTCCTGAGAAGGAGTGTTTTCCTTTGATTTAAGTTAGATGAATTGCCAAATCTAATATGATTTACGTTTAAAATGCAGAAAAAAAACTAACTTCAAGTGCAAAATATCTAACTATCCTATTTATAAACAAATATACTCATTCTTTTTGCAGAAGTATCCGCTCAAATTGAGGGTAAAAACACATATTTTAAGTATTTTTTTTCTTTTTCAGATCGGTTTTTGTAGCATAATGATAATTAATTTATTATGATGACATAATAAAGATCATAACTGATTCGTCCCGAAGACAAATTTTTAATTTGGCCTTTACAATTTACCTTAACAATAATTCATTATTTAGCTTTAAGCTTCAGTCGTACCAAGACAGGATAAATAGGTAAATTTCATCTTGAACATCACTGTAAAACAATTTATACATAGTTAAGATTAGGTAGATCTAAACATCAGGATATGCAACTCCATAGCCTGATTAGATTTTAAAGTATTAAGAGGTTCACAGTGTTTTGCTCCATCAGGACGGAAGATGCTATTTTGCAATGATTTTACCTTTTTTTTTTTTCTTACATAATTAAGGATAAGCTGACTAGCCTTCAGTGAAAGTTGATGCTTTGAAAATATTTCATAGAGTAGGTTAAAATGTAGGTCCTGCCGCCAGTTTTATATTTTTAAATCATCAATGATGCTGACCAGTAAAAAAGGTCAGTAAAGATTATGGTAAAACAAAGTGCGGTTATTGCTGCATTATCTGAGTCACAGTTATTTCCATTTCCAGCAGAGTAAGACCTGCAGACCCTCTTTTGAATTTAGCCCATTGCATCTGGTGATCTAATTCTCTTATCTTGGCAGACCTGGAGGGCCAATGTACTGCACTTTTAGCAACAAATGAGCAAATCACAGCTCTGCTTTATGTTTTAAACAGATATAAAAATGTGTTGTCAACACCAGCACCTTCGCATAAATCATAAGGACTTTAAACCATGTGACAGATATAAAGGGAAGGTTCTGGTACTGAAATCTTTTAAAACCTTGGAACACCTTTAGACCAGGAACCGGCCCATGCCAAAGTCGGAACTGCTGCGCAGTGCGGGGCTTCTCACCTAACAGATGTTTATTTATTTTGAGGAGGGTCAACCATACAATTACAACCAGACTATAGCCAAAAGCTATGTTAGCTATGTTGAAGATAAAAGTCAGGCTTTGTGCCTGGTTTTAACACTCAATCTGCTGGTACGTTCGAGGTGAAATAATCCCAATTAAAAAAAGAATACCTCACACCTCATCCTTTCACAAAATGGCAAGGATCAGAGAGGAGGACAGCTTATAAAACCTCTGACAAATCAGTAAAAAAAACGTTAAGAAAAGAAGGTCAGGTAGAAGCCACAGTTGTGCAAAGCCCATTTTCAGCACCGCTTTACTATCCGGATACTGGTGTGTGTGCTTGGACCAAGTGACAACACATACAAAGCTAAATTCAATCCTAATCCTCACGGTTTTATCTGGATTCTTTGTTTCTAAATGGTAAAGTCCTAAAACATGTAGTTTACATTTAAACTATCAGAAGTGAATAAGTCTGTATGATGGGTGGGGTTGTAAGTTGGTGGTGCGCTCCTATGACTGGGGGAGGTGCTGTCTGATAATCTCTCGAGACTGAGGGGGGATCCTGTCAGGAAAACGTACAGAAAACTCCACGATGAGATCCCCGCGCTGTGACGGGTTCTTAGGAAAAGGCAGGCCTTCCCCTCTGACTCGCTTCAGTGTTCCTGGCTTGATGATGTCGTGGCAAGGGAGGGAGATGACGCGGTTTTCCAGCGTGGGAATACTAACAGTGCAGCCACACAGCGCCTGGAAAGAGAGAAAACTCAGAGGGTTAATATCTTAAAAGAAAGATTCCAGAGCCATGAATATCCTAATGACCTAATGTTTCCATGAGGTAAAACTGGAGTTTCTCTCCCCTCCAGAATGTCATCATGAGGCAAATGCTGTTGTGTTTTTTTTTTGTGTGTGTGTGTTGCATGCATGTAAAAAACAGAGAAACAGGAGTATCATTGTATAATTAATATATTTAGCATGGAGTACAGCACTGTGGGGTTTGGAGAAAAGCCTCGAAAACATTTGAACCTCAGCGAACTTGGAAGAGTGTATCAGAAGTGTATCAGGATTGCACTGGCGTCTAATTTTAGCAGCAGCCTCATATCTTGGGCTAATGAAGTGAGGCAGGATTCGGCTGAGCTCGTAAATAGTTGGAGGGCTTGTCAGATCCTCGCAGTCACACACACACACACACACACACACACACACACACACACACACACACACACACACACACACACACACACACACACACACATAATCATCCCTTCTTTATCTCACTGCACCATGAGTCCCGGGATGTGGGTTTTAAAGACTTCACAGGCTTTGTGCTGGGCATCTTCACCACATTTAGGCTGAGCAGAAGTAACTATTTTAACACCGTGACTGAACATCTGAACAACTGTTACAAAGAAAAGCAGTAAAATAATAAAGTCAAGTGTGAAGAGATGCAGAAGGAGAGCTGTTAGAAACAACCACACATTTACAAACAGAGAGAGTAAGAGAAACTAAACAAAACAGTAACTAGGAGATTTATAAAGAACAAGATGCCAGATATTAAAAGTATGACAGACTTCCTTTTAACAAGTTTTACAATTAGAATTTAACTGCACTGCAAGTAATGGAATCACACATGTGCTATTTGCAAACTCCACTACTTCCTTTGTTTCCTGTCTTTCATGACTGGACAGAGTAATCCAGGTGTGTTGTCATGGTGATGAAGGTCAGACACACCTGGATTAATCAGGAGCCCATGTTTCCAGGTTGTACAGCAAATAACTGATTTGTTGAATTATTAATTAAATCAAGACCATAATTTTAATAATGTATTTCAAATATAAACGGGACTGTTTCTTATGTAAAGTGAAATTTAGTTTGTTGTAAACAAATATTTGTGGTTTGAAAATGTTAATACGTTTTTTTAAACATAGAATAATATTATATTTCAAGTGTTCAATGTTGATTTTGAAGATTAGGTATTAAAATAAATGAAAACCAAGAGTTGAGGTTGGCAGAAAGTCTAAATATGATCAATAGCATGATATTATCTAATATATAAATGTAATGTTCTGGCTTATACAGTTTCTAGAAATACATTAAACCTATAAACTAACGACAGATTAACTAAACAGCCAGATACATAATTATGAAATGGAGTTTTAAAACTTAAAAATAAAAGATTTTATAACTTTTATTTTTTAAATCTGCTTCTTAGAGTGCAAGAGTCCTGAGTCAAGTTCATAAAGCTGTCCTGTATTCAAACTTGGAAAACAAATGGAGCATGTCTCATCGACCAAATTCCAACCACTGCTAACTTCCACTCCATCGGCTTTTCATGATGTAATCGTGCATTTACATGAGCTTAACTTCTGAGAACATCTATGTCTGTACTTGGTAGTTGTTTTCTTGCACTGTCTGATAGGATGTTAATATGGACCATTGAATTTCGGATCAAACAGAGCAGCTGCTTCAAAGGGCACACAGATTTTTTCAGGCATGACATCAGCGTCCTGTCACCCACTATATACGTTACTCTTTGATTTGGTCTATCGGCTGCTTTAAACACTCGTCCTCTGAACACTTTCATTCACTAACTCCAAAATCACACACAGATTCAGGACGCCATAGCTCTGTACACACAGTCATCAGATGAATGATTACATAAGACTCTGCATCTAATAACAATACCATAGAGACCAGCACAAACAAACCATCAATGACACTTTTTACTGTCTTAGACAAAAATAACTCTAAAGATTTAGAATAATTCCTCAAAGCCAAACCGCCATGATGATGATTATTTTTACATGTTTAACATTAAAATATCAATTTGGTTGTTGCTTTAGGTGCAGCCTATATGTGTCCTTATAATCCAAAGTACCCTATCCTTACAAAGATGTGGAGTAAAACACGGTGCTACTTTTACTAAATTCCATCAGATTCCTAATGGCTTTTAAAGTAAATTTTTGCTTAAAGGTACACTATGCAACCGGTGTTGATTTTCCAGTGAGGCTCCCCCCAGAGGGCGAAAGTAAAAGTGCACTGTCGTAAA